ATTTACAGACAATTGATTCAATAGACAGATTCAGCCTTTTGGAGTATAAACTTGCACAATCGAGTCTTGGGAAGATGTCGGAAGCAAGTGAATGACGTGGTCATCAGAAATAGACAACTTCTGCCAACTATAAACATCCTGAAAGTTTAGTCAAAAGGTGCAGATGTAAAAGTATATTTGGGAAAGGAAAACTCAGACAACGGTTCCTACCTTGAAAAACTTGATGCTGCAAGAAATGAGAATAGTTAATTTCAAAACTCAGCATTGATTGTAGATTTTGAAAAATATCATATGATAATGAGAAGGAATAAAGGAGACAGAACTACAGCAAACTTTCTTGAGACGTAATTAACCCTTGTTGCTAATGGATGTTCTGATTCTAACTTCGAGGCAGTTAACGAGGTTTGCTGCCGAAGAATTTTGTTCTCAGATTCCATGTCGGATTTTTTTTCTTCTACACTGCTTGCTTCAAACTCCCCTGGCTAAGTGTAATTTCGTTTCCAGAGAGCTCACTAAGGTCTGCAATGACGCATAAAAGGATGCAACAATAAGCAAGTACATAAAGAAAATTATTTTTTCACGCAATTTTAACGGATTTTTGCTCACCTGCATTAAGTGATTTTTGCTCAGCTGTTATTTTTGCAATTCTATTTCCTTCAATGTTGTGCCTTTGTTTGCCCCGACCTGAAGCTGAAGCTCCTCTTCCAAATAAATAAATAGACAATTCATGAATAATTAACAATATAATAGAACATTTAGTCGCATAAAAAACCAAAGAGAAGAGAGTGATCATACAAACAAGAAAGATAGGAAGAGTTTTTCACAAGAAAGTCAATAATTAATTCAAGTTGGCAAAGAAACATTCCACCCCGTCATGGCTGCAGAATCACCGGTTGCATGCGATTGGGGAAATATAAATTACCCCAAAATCGCAGCCATCCGAGTTCGCCACATCAAGATACGGGAGGGTTTCAAAATGCCCAAATTATCAGCTCCACAAATTATCAACAATCATCACAGCAGCTCCATCAGAATATAAAGAAACACACAACCACGCACATGGGCACACACATAGAAAGAGATGGTCACACACACAGAAAGAGAGCTTATCAGAAAAAATCCAGCTAATGTCAACCTGAACAGCTCCACTAGAAGATATAGACACACACATGCACGTACACGGGCACACACACAGAAAGAGAGCTTATCAGAAGAAAAAAATCCAGCTAATGTCACCTGATAAGCTAATGTCTGAACATAAGTTTTTTGCTTTCCAGCTAATGTCACACGAAGATGCCCCAAAAGACATTGTTTTCCAAGAACATGCATAGGGTACATGGGTACTTACGCAGTCAATCTTGTGCAGCGACTTCCTTGTACTTGTCCAATTTTTCCTCTGAACAGCATATTCGTTACAAAACTGTCAAGACAAAATATTATTGTCAGCGCATCATCTTTCAGAAAATAATTTAAGAGTAAAATTTCAAAATACAAAGAGTAAGGGTAGTACCGTTCAAGAATCATCGAGTAATTAAATTTATCAAACCTGATATAAATCTCTCCGGCGAACTCGAAGCATCATATCCCTAGATCCCTTTAATTTTTGATCTGGAGTTGTCTCAATGGTCTTGATGATAGTGTCATCTACTTACAGCATTAAAGAAAAAAAAACCTCTCAGTAGTGCGGTAAACAGTGATTAAAGACACAAATAAGAGAGATCACAGACCTTCCAACATTGTGAACGATCCTGCATGTGAGATTCTACCTGAAGACAATTGTTCGCACTCACTAAGGCATCTACAATATTATATTGGTTAAAAATTTATACATATTTCCACAAGATTGTAAATGCCCGTGTTATAACATGAAAAAAACGAAATAATAGGGGCAAAGTGGGACACCATTACTTTTTTTGTTTTTTCCTCTCCAGTGTCTCGCATGTCTAGCGCTTTGATCCCATACGTCTGCAACTGAAAATTCTAAAAAGCCTAGGGAATTACTCCAACCTGCAAAAGCATTTTAAATTTAGCATTTGTGTTTGCAACTATATAACCATAGAAATTTAAAATTTACAAATAGATATTCACGAGATAGTAAGTGTGAATGTTAAGATGAAAAGATAAAATAATAGGGTCGAACTGGAAGAGCGTTATTTTTTTGGCTTTTTCCTTCTCAGTGTCGTATGTACTTGTGCTTTGATCCCATAAGTCTTCAACTGAAAATTCTTATAAGCCTCCGACATTTCTCCAGCCTGCAAAAGTATTTAAGGTTTAGCATTTATGTGTGCAGCAACATAGACACAAGAATTTAAAAATTGACAAACAATTGATTCAAGAGACATATTCAGCCTTTTGGAGTATAAACTTGCGCAATCGAGTCTTGGGAAGGATGTCGGAAGCAAGTGAATGATGTAGTCATCAGAAATGGAATACTTCTGCTCAGTATCAACATCCTGAAAGTTTAGTCAAAAGTTGCGGAAGTAAAAGTATATCTGGGAAAGGAAAACTCAGACAAAGATTCCTGCCTTGGAAAAATTGATGCTGCAAGAAATGAAAAAATGTTAATTTCAAAACTCAGCACTGATTGTAACTTTTAAAAAATATCATATGATATTGAAAGGAGACAGAACTACAGCAAACTTTCTTGAGACATAATTAACCTTAGTTGCTAGTGGATGTTCAGATTCTAACTTCGAGGCACTTAACAAGGTTTGCTGCGAAGAATTTTGTTCTCAGATTCCATGTCGAATTTTTTTCTTCTACGCTGCTTGCTTCAAACTCCCCAGGCTAAGTTTGTCCAGCACTTCATATTTCTTCTCTATTTCACGTAATTTCATTTCCAGAGAACTCACTAAGGTCTGCAATGACGCATAAAAGGATGCAACAATAAACAAGTACATAATGAAAATTATTATTTCACAACGCTTTAATGGATTTTTGCTCAGCTGTTATTTTTGCAATTCCATGTCCTTCAACGTCGTGCCTTTGTTTTCCCTGACCTGAAGCTGAAGCTCCTCTTCCAAATAAATAAATAGACAATTCATGAATAAATAACAATATAATAGAAAATTTAGTCGCATCGAAAACCAAAGGGACGAGAGTGATCATACAAACAAGAAAGATAGGAAGAGGTTTTTCACAAGAAAGTCAATAATTAATAACATCTATACAGATTTTCACAACATAGGATCATGAAGACCATTGTTTTTAATGCTTTTACCTCTTCAGTGTCGCATGAACTTGTCCCATAAGTCTTCCACTGAAAATTCATAAAAGCCTCGGAAATTACTCCAACCTGCAAAAGCATATACCTGTTTAGCATTTATATGCGCAACTACATAACCTTTGGAATACAAAGATCCACCAAACAATTGACTCGAACAATTACGCCTTAGTAAGACGTTGGAAGCAAGTGGATGATGCGATCATCAGAAACAAAGAAGAACTTCTGCTCTCTGCAAAAATCTTTGAAGAATCTAACAAGGCTGCCAGACACTTATCTGAAGTGTTTCCAGGTCACACCGAGTCCTTGCGCTTTTATCTCGACCCATAGTAGAGTTAAAGGTGGCCAACAACCAACGAGTTGTTGGAACAACAAAAAACAAGAGAGATGGATTGATTTATAACTAACAAGGGCAACAATCAAGGGGGTTGCCAACTCTGATAAAGTTTAAAAATACTCTTAACATAAAATTATATTGAGGAAAAACAAGTATTGGGAACATACAGTACAATCATCACAAATATTGGCAATTCGAGTATGCAGTGAATTAAAGGAAACGAGGCTCAGATCTGTTGCTCAATCGTTCAAATTGGCAAAGAAACATTCCACCCCGTCATGGTTGCAGAATCACCGGTTGCATGCGATTGGGGAAATATAAATTACCCCAAAATCGCAGCCATCCGGGTTCGCCACATCAAGATACGGGAGGGTTTCTAAATGCCCAAATTATAAGCTCCACAAATTATCAACAATCATCACAGCAGCTCCATCAGAATATATAGACACACACAACCACGCACATGGGCACACACATAGAAAGAGATGGGCACACACAGAAAGAGAGCTTATCAGAAAAAATCATGCTAATGTCACCTGAACAGCTCCACTAGAATATATAGACACACACATTCACGCACATGGGAACACACACAGAAAGAGAGCTTATCATAGAAAAAAAAAATCCAGCTAACGTCACCTGAAAAACTAATGCCCGAACATAACTTTTTTGCTCTCCAGCTAATGTCACACGAAGATGCCCAAAAAGACATTGTTTTCCAAGAACATGCATTGGGTACATGGGTACACGGTCAATCTTGTGCAGTGACTTCCTTGTACTTCTCCAATTTTTCCTTTGAACAGCATATTCATTACAAAACTGTCATGACAAAATAGTATTGTCAGCACCTCATCTTTCAGAAAATAATTTAAGAGTAAAATTAAAAAAATACAAAGAGTAAGGGTAGTACCATTCAAGAATCATCGAGTAATTATAAAACCTGATATAAATCCCTCCGGCGAACTCGAAGCATCAAATCCCTAGATCCCTTTAATTCTTGATATGGAATTGTCTCAATGGTCTTGATGATAGTGTCATCTACTTAAAACATTAAAGAAAAACCTCTCAGTAGTGCGGTAAACAGAGATTAAAGACACATATAAGAGAGATCACAGACCTTCCAGCATTGTGAATGATCCTGCATGTGAGATTCTACCTGAAGACAATTGTTCGCACTCACCAAGGCATCTACAATATTATATTGGTAAAATATTTATACACACTTCCACAAGATTGTAAATGCCAGTGTTATAAGATGAAAAAACGAAATAATAGGGGCAAACAGGGATACAATTGTACTTTTTGTTTTTTCCTCTCCAGTGTCGCATGTCTAGTGCTTTGATCCCATAAGTCTGCAACTGAAAATTCTAAAAAGCCTAAGGAATTACTCCAACCTGCAAAAGCATTTTAAATTTAGCATTTGAATGTGCAACTACATAACCATCGAAATTTTTAAATTTACAATTAGATTTTCACGAGATAGTAAGTGTGCATGTTATAAGATGAAAAAAATAAAGTAATAGGGTCAAACTGGAAGAGCGTTATTTTTTTGGCCTTCTCCTTCCCAGTTTCGCATGTACTTGTGTTTTAATCCCATAAGTCTTCGACTGAAAATCCTTATAAGCCTCTGACGTTTCTCCAGCCTGCAAACGTATTTAAGGTTTAGCATTTATACGTGCAACAACATAGACACAAGAATTTAAAAATTTACAGACAATTGATTCAATAGACAGATTCAGCCTTTTGGAGTATAAACTTGCACAATCGAGTCTTGGGAAGATGTCGGAAGCAAGTGAATGACGTGGTCATCAGAAATAGACAACTTGTGCTAACTATGAACATCCTGAAAGTTTAGTCAAAAGTTGCGGATGTAAAAGTATATTTGGGAAACGAAAACTCAGACAACGGCTCCTACCTTGAAAAACTTGATGCTGCAAGAAATGAGAAAAGTTAATTTAGAAACTCAGCATTGATTGTAGATTTTGAAAAATATCATATGATAATGAGAAGGAATAAAGGAGACAGAACTACAGCAAACTTTCTTGAGACGTAATTAACCCTTGATGCTAATGGATGTTCTGATTCTAACTTAGAGGCAGTAAACGAGGTTTGCTGCCGAAGAATTTTGTTCTCAGATTCCATGTCGAATTTTTTTCTTCTACACTGCTTGCTTCAAACTCCCCTGGCTAAGTGTAATTTCGTTTCCAGAGAGCTCACTAAGGTCTGCAATGACGCATAAAAGGATGCAACAATAAACAAGTACATAATGAAAATTATTTTTCCACGCAATTAACAGTTTTAACGTTTTAACGGATTTTTGCTCACCTGCATTAAGTGATTTTTGCTCAGCTGTTATTTTTGCAATTCTATTTCCTTCAACGTCGTGCCTTTGTTTTCCCTGACCTGAAGCTGAAGCTCCTCTTCCAAATAAATAAATAGACAATTCATGAATAATTAACAATATAATAGAAAATTTAGTCGCATAGAAAACCAAAGAGAAGAGAGTGATCATACAAACAAGAAAGATAAGAAGAGTTTTTCACAAGAAAGTCAATAATTAATCACATCTATACAGATTTCCACAACACAGGATCATACTGGAAGACCATTGTTTTTAATGCTTTTACCTCTTCAGTGTCGCATGAACTTGTCCCATAAGTCTTCAACTGAAAATTCACAAAAGCCTCGGAAATTAATCCAACCTGCAAAAGCATATACATGTTTAGCATTTATATGCTCAACCACATAACCTTTGGAATATAAAGATCTACCAAACAATTGACTAAAGAGATAAAAAATCAACGTTTCTCGCGTAAACTCAAACAATGACGTCTTAGTAAGATGTTGGAAGCAAGTGGATGATGCGATCATCAGAAACAAAGAAGAACTTCTGCTCTCTGCAAAAATCCTTGAAGAATCTAACAAGGCTGCCAGACACTTATCTGAAGTGTTTCCAGATCACACCGAGTCCTTGCGCTTTTTTATCTCAACCCATAGTAGTAGAGGTATAGGTGGCCAACAACCAACGAGTTCCTGGAACAACAAAAAACAAGAGAGATGGATTGATTTGTAAAAAGAACTTGTGATTTATAAATAACAATGGCAAGAATCAAGAGGGTTGCCAACTCTGATAAAGTTTAAAAATACTCTTAAAATATAAAGGAAAAACAAGTATTGGGAACATACAGTACAATCATCACAAGTATTGGGAATTCGAGTATGCAGTGAATTAAAGGAAACGAGGCTCAGATCTGTTGCTCAATCGTTCAAGTTGGCAAAGAAACATTCCACCCCGTCATGGTTGCAGAATCACCGGTTGCTTGCGATTGGGGAAATATAAATTACCCCAAAATCGCAGCCATCCGGGTTCGCCACATCAAGATACGGGAGGGTTTCTAAATGCCCAAATTATCAGCTCCACAAATTATCAACAATCATCACAGCAGCTCCATCAGAATATATAGAAACACACAATCACGCACATGGGCACACACATAGAAAGAGATGGGCACACACACAGAAAGAGAGCTTATCAGAAAGAATCCAGCTAATGTCACCTGAACAGCTTCACTAGAATATATAGACACACACATTCACGCACATGGGCACACACACAGAAAGAGAGCTTATCAGAAGAAAAAAATCCAGCTAACGTCACCTGATAAACAAATGATTTGAGGCAATCAATGATTTGTTTGAGAATGTTTGCCGAAAGATCGACCAGACCTCAACACACTCCCTTTGGAGGTTCTTGGAGTCTGAAATCATTAAAGTATAATAAATCGTGAAGGCATTGCTCACATAATATTTAATAAAACATAAATATTTTATCAATCAACATACCTGAATACGTAAAGCAAGAAGTGCTCCCAAATCCTTCAAGTTATCTCGAATAGTTACATATAATTTCTCAACATAAGCATTAAGCTGCTGCTTGAAAAGCAGAGCTGGATATGTCGCTTCGACTTGTCGCACCTTATCAATGGCTGCTGCAGCTGGCTAGGCTTGTCGAAGAAGGTGACCTAAATACCTGTAAAAAAAATTATTTCATATTTATCTACTTCGTAAATCGGAAAAAAAAAACAAATAAAATTGAATACTATTGTCAACCACCCGAATAGAGAGGTTGCGGTTGTGCCTTACGAACTGGGGTGGCACCAGCCGTCCCAGAAGATTTCAGACTTTTTTCGAGCAAAAACAATAACGTAGAAGTATTAGACAGCCAATAAGTCATATGATCATTATTGATGTCTTGATTCTGCAAATTAATTTTATTTCAGAATTACTTTCCACAGTTTTAGAGAAACAGACAAATGTAAAGGAAATTAATCTCAATGGCTGAACAATTCACATGAAGAAGATGATGAAAATCTCGTTTTCTAGAAAACAACTGACATGGTGACGATCGGTTGGAGGTCTCCTAGGTCTGCTGTCAGGGGTCTCGTAAACTTTTGTCGTAGTGTGTAATGATATATATCCTGCAAAAAATAAAAATAAATGTACAAATGAACCTGTAATTACACTACCAAAAAGAAGTAATATAAAAAACGATGTAGTACGTTGATCGCAGTCACTTCACTTACATGGTGGCCATTTTTCTGCACAAAAGTCATGAAAAAAAATTATCATATGATATTGAGAAGGAATAAACGAGACAGAAAAAACAGACATTTTCCTTGAGCCGTAATTAACCTTGGTTGCTGTTAAAGGTGGTCGATGTTCTAATGATATGTACTGGTGCTCCGATCCCATTAGTCTGCAACTGAAAATTTTATAAAGCCTAAGAAATTAATCCAACCTGCAAAAGCATTTTAAATTCAGCATTTGTATGTGCAACTACATAACCATATAAATTTAAAAATTTGCAAATAGTTGCTTAAGAGGCAAGTTCAGCTTTTTTGGAGTACACTCGCGCAATCATGTCTTAGTAAGATGTTGGAAGCAAGTGCATGATGCGATCATCACAAACAGAGAACTTCTGCTACCTACCAAAATCATAAATAAGAAAGTGTTGTCAGAAGTTGCAAAAGTGAAATTAATATTGGAAAAGGAAATCTTTAGAAGGGTCAGAACCGTGATACTTATATTGTGACAAAGGATTCATAGCTCGAAACACTTGATGCTGGAATCAGAAATCCACTCCACATTCCTATATAACAGCCATCTCCATAAAAAGTAAAATGCAGAATATAAGCCTAAGGAATTACTCCAACCTGCAAAAGCATTTTAAATTTAGCATTTGCATGCGCAACTACATAACCATAGAAATTTAAAATTTCGAAAATAGATTTTCACGAGATAGTAAGTATGCATGTGATGTTTCAAAAAAAAAAGTATGCATGTGATAAGATGAAAGATAAAATAATAGGGTCAAACTGGAAGGGCGTTTTTTTTTGGCTTTTTCCTTCTCAGTGTCGCATGTACTTGTGCTTTGATCCCATAAGTCTTCAACTAAAAATTCTTATAAGCCTCCGACGTTTCTCCAGCTTGCAAAAGTATTTAAGGTTTAGCATTTATATGTGCAGCAACATAGACACAGAATTTAAAAATTGGCAAATAATTGATTCAAGAGACATATTCAGCCTTTTGGAGTATAAACTTGCGCAATCGAGTCTTGGGAAGCAAGTGAATGATGTGGTCATCAGAAATGGAATATAACACTCATTGCAAAACTAGTAGGTTGATTGATTGCAGAAACTTCACTTGTATGATGGCCATTTTTCAATATCTGCACACAAGTCGAAAAAAAATATTATACGGTGAGAACCTCCTCTTTCAGGCAATACTTCTGCAATAAAAAGTACAAATATAAAGAGCCTGATATGAATAAAATTCAAAAACAACCTCAAAATTTAAAGTTGCATCCTAAACTGCATGCTCGGCAATCACTGGCAATGTAACCTGCAGCAAAAAAAAAATTCACATCCTTGTAATATTATCAACCATGCAGTCATGAACATAAAAAATATATGACACAAATCGTTGATAATCTCATTATACGATATTCTGTGTTCTGATGTATAACCTGTAGGAAAAAGTAAAACCGGTAAGTTCAAGTAATGGGA